CCACTGTAGCTGAACCTGTAGCTGGAGCTATACCGTCCCTAAATCTCCAGACCCCCTGGGCCCTCTGCTCCAGTGGCCGTCCTCCTACCCCTGCGGGCATGTGCTGCCCAAGGTCCGAGCGGATCCTCTTCTTCCTGGTGATGGGAAGAAGGGCTGAGAATTGATATTTTCTGAGATAGCAGGGGAGGTGTGTCCTGCCAACATCTGAGCGGTCCCCTAGGGCAGGAAGAATATTTCCAGAGAAAAGTGATCCAACATTTTGCAGACAGATTTCACGCCCTTCCACAGCACCTCCCCCATCAACTACTCCTGGAACTCAATGTCCGTGGAGTGACAGACACTGCCTGTTGTTGGCGTGGCCCCTCTGGCTTATAAGATCCATATGTAACCTTGAACCTCTAGGCTGCCCCACGTGTGGGGTCCGGGAGCCAGCCGTCTCCAGCCACCTTGAAAGACTTACTCTGAGTTCTGACTGGTCATGACCAGCACTTTCCCAAGATGTTGCTTTCTGAGCTCTTCCTGTCCCCACTGCAGGACGCTACAGAGCTGGGACCTGCCGCCTTGTAGCCCCAGCCGACAGCAGGCAACCCCACCTTCTGGAAAGCCCTGGATTCCAGGACTTCTCTGCCTCTGACATTGGCTGGCTTCCCACTCCTCTCCAGAATACCCCAGGATGTCATAAAAATGTTGAGTAATTTTGTTTTATCTTAAACGAGGGGTGGCATTTGAGCCATCAGATGTCATTGGGACACTCCTGCCAGAGCTAAAAAGGGACTCTTATCACATCCTGCCTGGCGTGGGAGCAGTGGGGGCTGGGTGAGCACTTGACACTCACTGGCAGTTCCTCCCCACTGCGGTCCCCAGCAGAGCTGAGCTGGAGCCGTGCCCATCCTGGTGTCCAGCCCTTACATTTCAACCAGGTAAAAGCTTTGAAGAAGAGAGGCTTCTGAGTGCTTTTAGACATTGAAAGAAATATCAAGGAGCAGTGTACGGAAGATAGTAGACAAGCTTCCTTCTCACCAAACAAAAGCAAACTAAGCATTCTGGTAAGAGGGATGCAGCGGAGGCGGGAGGGGACTGCTGGACGGGGATGGGGGATTGGCAGCAGTGCAAACCCTCGACTGAGGAGGGGGAGGCAATGTTCCCCTCCCACACTTAGGGGGCACTACACGAGTGTTACTTATTATCATCCCCAAAAGCCCAGCACAAAGTATTACACATAGAAAGAACAGAACAAAATAGAGATCTGACACGTGGGGCGGATGTGAAGTAGAGGGTCACTTGGTGCATAAATGCAACTTGGAAATTTTTCCGAGCAAGCAGTGCTTTGGGGGCTCAGCAAAGCTCTGGAAGCTGATCACACACTCTGACCGGTGAGATTCTTGGGACAGGAACCATGGCTGATGGGAAAGCAAAATGATACAATGTCAGTGAGGGGCAGGTTAGCAGTTTCCAGCAGAATTCCTCCAGATACACTTGCATTCCAGGTTATCCACTGTAGCTTGGTGGGAAATAGCAAAAGACTGGTAACTACGGTGCTCATCCATCGGGGGCTCGTTACGTACGTAACCATGTAGCAAATAAGGATGCTGACTGTGTGCCTTTACGGAAGGGTCTCCTGAGGGCATCGCTAAGGGTACTTTACATCTGGGTATAAAAGGGAAAATAAGCATTTATTCATGCTTGCTTGCATACAGAAAGTCTGTGAGGACAAATAAAAAGTGAATAAGCAACTGTATTTCACTGTGACCCTTCTCCCAATTTTTGGCTTTATTCAAATCACATGAATCCAGAAATTAGAAACACAAACTGGGTTTCAAAAGACTGGACTGTGGGCTCGGTACCAAGTCACCTTTGCAGACCAAGCTCTGGCTTTGTACTGTAACAGATGTCATATGTAATTTTTATATGAATAGAGTACAAATCCAAAAATAACACTTAGATCATCTGAAAACATAACGCCTCAGGTGCCCATTAAATGTGCTTCTCAATACAGGTTTTGTTCGGAACTTGGTCTGACCGGCCCGGGATGGGTACTTTGATTAAGTAAGACATTGTGACCGTTTTGAGGGGGTAGAAGTGTCCCTCCGCCCTTTGCTCTGTCATTTCATCACCTCTCCTGCTGGTCCAGCCAGCTGCTCTGTTAACTATGAACACCCCGTATGTTTCAAAACTACAGGTGAAGAAATTCCATGAACTCTGACCATAAATTATGTCATGACTCTTGGGAATTTTTTTCGCCTGGAGTTAGAGCTTTTTTTTTTAAAACTGTGGTTGAGACTTCAAGCACTTGCTTGCTGACTGTGTTTTCATTTTTGTTTTAAAGGCTGCAAATTAGCACCTGTTTTATCAACTTCACACTGGGCCCAACAGAACTTCTTTGAAAGGCCAAGACTGCTGTTTTTAGTCTTTCAGGAAACACAGCGACTGACTTCTTTCCTCCTCGTCATGTACCTTCTTCTTTATAAGGAAGAAAGGGTTAGAAATATTATTCACATTTTCATCTTGTGTATTGGGTGAGAATTTGATAGGGAATGGCAGGCTGTGTGGGGTTCCTTCACAGAGTTACTCCTCTACCTAGGTCTAAATGCCGTTCATATCAGCAACTCTTTCTTGGCTAGAATTTGCTTTTATTGGAGCCCAAAGACAGGTACATCCAAGGAGGGGCAGGAGGGGCTCTGAGCAGAGTCCAGTAGTCCAGCCCTTAAGACAGCCTTCCTTGTCATCCTAATGGGGAATGAAAAGATTTTCAGTAACTTTTTTTGGTATCTCTCCCCTCTTTCTCTTTAAAATTAGATTTAGACATCTTTTAGACCCCACAGTTTGCATCTTTAAACATTATAATTGCAAAGCCATGAACACTGCAAATTCACATGATTTATAGATTTTTTACTTAGAAGGCGTGACCCCACCAGCATTTATGTTATATTCATGAATGGAAATATTTATTTGTTTTTTTTTCCTTCCAAAAATCATTCTGGTGGAGAATGCTCCACCTGCCCCAGCCCTTTGATGGATGAGGGCAGCCTCTCTGGGCTTGTAGATCCAGGAGCCCACCTGCCCCTTAGGGAGGGAACACAAGGCAGGCAAACAGTGATGCTGGAAGCCGTATCCTGTCTGGGGCGCTTCATGAAGCATCCCAAAATATTCTCTCTGTTTATGGGTTATTGCAAAATAATTGAAACTGTGTTGGCGTGGGAAGCATTTCTTTCGTAGGCATTTAGGATTGCTAGTGTCTCCATAAATTGTTAAAGGCAAAAAATGGAAATAGACTTTAGTCATCCGGGGCCCCGTGTTTTGAAAGGACACAAGCAAATCTGTCACATAGACCCTCGATCCTGTCACTGATTTGGGCTAGCTGGAGTTCACAGTAATCCCAACAGGAAGGGACCTGGGAAAAAGAGAAATCATCAGAAGAGGAAAGCAAACTGGAGGATAATGATCGCAGTGAGCGTTAGGAGTGCAGGTGCTAGAGTAGAAAGGTGCGTGTGTGCATGGGCGCCAGGGAAGAGTTGGGGAAGACAAGAAGCGGGTGGCAAGGGGAAGAAAGGGGGAAGCGTACTGGGGGCAGTAGGTGATGCCACCAGGTAGGGGTGTCTCAGAAGCCTGCTCTGAGCCAAGTTCTCTGCTACAGACTTGAATGTCCTCCATCCTTAAAACCTTCATTGTTAGTGGTGGTAATTGGCCTAAGAGTCACACACCTAAAGAACAGCAGAGCTGGGGTTTGAACTCCCGTCCATCTGGAAAGCCCAGGTCCTCAGCCTCCAGGCAGCTCTTTGCATTATGTGGTACCTGCGATGCAGTGTTAGTCACCTATCCCCGCTCCAGACCTGGAAGCTGAGGGTTCAATCCTGAAATGGACCGAGGGCAAGACCTTCATTATTTAGTTACAGGTCCTACCTCAAGCTTAGCCTCCTCTCAGAATTGGGGCCCGGGGTGGCCAGGTGCTGGGGTGAAAGGGGATAGCTCCGGAGGTCTAAACTCATCGCTTCTTACAGAGATACATCAGACTGCAGGTCCCCCTAATGAAGGCTCAGAAGCATCCTTTCCACAGATGAAGAAGAGCACACCTTGATCTTTATAATCACTTGTAGCTCCAGCTCTGGGCTTTGGTAAATCTGATGTGTGCATTAGTTTTAGTTTAAAACATGATGTGGCATTTTGGAAAACAAAGCAAACAAATATAGCTCTTGGGGGGATTTTTTTTTTTTATGCCTTTGCTTGGGGAACTTATGCAGGTATTGTCAGCGATTTTCCTTGAAGGACAGACTTGTATAATTGTAGTAACATGTTTCTGAGATACAGAGGATGAAAACCACAACAAAATAGAAACCTTTCAAGTTAGCACATGCATAATGTATATTAATGGCAGAGAGAAACGGAGCCAGGAAAAGGGATTTTAAAGAAACACTGCAGACATCAGGGGAGTGCCTGTGTCCTGTGGGTATAGCGTATGAGATTTCTAGAAGTGAGTTGCTTACCGTCTGAGTGTGAGAAATAAACTAGAACTTAATCATAACAGGCACTGCTGTCATTTGGGTCAGCTAGTCCTAGCTATAATCTACAGAAGGGGTCCCCAGCACGGAGCCCTGGGAGGGGCGATGCAGATACAGCAAGAGGATTTTAGTTAGGATGACCTTGAATTGTCTCATGCCTGCCTTTCCCTGGTTCGCTGGGAACTCATTTGGTTATGTTTTTATCATCATTCCATTCTGTAATGTTTAAATGGGGTCCTTGGCTCCCTAAGTTCTGGGACTGGTAAAATTCAAATCATGTGTTCTCTACTAATATTTATTTAAATGCACCACTATGCAACAAACTTAACTATGGAAATGATGGAAATGATGCTGGTGATGAAATCATGAAACAGTTCTTTTTGAAAAATCTGTTTTTGGGGGGAGGTAATTAGGTATATTTATTTTTTCATGGAGGCCCTGGGGATTGAACCGAGGACCTTGTGCATGCTAGGCATGCTCTCTACCACTGAGCTACACCCTCTCCCTGAAACTGAGTCCTTACAGTCTCAATTTTGCTGCTGCCACTGGTTTAGCCAACCTGCGCATCCCTCCATCAAATGAACTGGTTCAGGTAGCCGCAGTTCTCACCCCGGGCTGCACCCTGATTCACCTGGAGAGCTTGATCTGATCCCTAGGTCTGGGTCCTGCCTGGAGACGCTGGTGCCGTCAGTCTGGGTGTGCTGGGGGCACGGGGATCTGACAGTCAGCTCCAGTGGAGAAAGGAAACCTGTGAATTTACAAAGCCCAGTCTAACCCTCCAGGGAACCCTCCCCCGTGGTCTGTAATGAATGTGACTGCCACTTTCTGACTCCTGGTCTGCGTCGTATGTAACTAAGGACCAGAGTTCAGTTAAATGTCTCAGTGATCCTCATAAAAACCTCATCCAGCCCAAAGTACTACGTGGTAGAGCATCTTTTCTGCCACTTGTAGTGTCCTTGTGTCAGTTTGTTCATGGGCTCCAGGTAAATGATATCCTGATAGCAAACCATGCAGAATAGGGCTCTTGTGAACAGTACTGTCCTTCGTATCTGCTTGCTGAAAAGCTTTCATGTTTCCTGTAAACTTTATTCACCCCATGGCTACAGTTTTTGCCTCTCATGAGAAACCCAGTTCTTGTCCATGTGATCTGCTGGGAATTGTTATTTGTGCTTCCACCGGAGGACTACAAAAAAAAAGAAGAAAGAAAGAAAGAAAAGAGAAGAAAAAGAAAAGAAGAAACACTGAGCAAAAATAAAGGAGGAGAAAAAATAAAAGAGGAAAAGCTTCTTGGGAATCAGAACTTGTTCTTAATTTTCCAGGCAAGAGGAAAAAAAAAAAAGCGGTGCTATCCTGTGAGCTTACCTGAGGGTCTTAGTCAGGTTTAGGAGTTGCGCATGGTCCTCAGTGTCGGGCATCAGACGCTCACTGTCAGCCTGAGACCCATCCCAGGCTTGCTCAAACTAGTTGTTGCAGAGATGAAATATTCCTGCTATAGAACACTTTTTTTCCCCTCTGCCAAATCAGCACGATCAAATATTTCTAAAGCTAAACAAAATGACATATTGGCTTGCAGGATTACCCACACCCTGACATCAATTTGAAAAGGAAAGCTGTGAAGGAGTAGGGTAGGGAGAGGCTGCTTTGTGCTCAGAAAGATGCCGCAAGGCAGCTGTGCAGTTAGTGTTGTTTCTGTTCAGCTTTGGCTGGGCTGGTGTGTGCGTTCTCAGCTTGTGTTCCAAAACTGTCACCAGAAGAATGTGGTGAGGCTCTTGTTTCAATCTTCGGTCTTTCCCTTTACCCTTTCCTGAGCCGAAGTCCGGCATCAACACAGCCGTGATTGCCAAGGCTTGAAAACAGCCAGTTTTGAACAAAACCTAACAGGCTTTTCACATGGTTCAGAAGAAGAAATGGAGGTGCTTCTCCCACTCACCCCAGACACACATTTGCAGGTCCTGTTCTCCACTCACTCAAAAAGGAGATGCTGCTGAGATCTGGAACATACGGTATAATTCATTCGGTAGCACCTACAAGTGTGCACTGAGGCTGGACGGGCTGTGTGTCGGGGTGGGGGGTGGGGGTGGCCAGGACTGTGAACTTGAATTTGCAGTGCAGGGTGGTCATCGCTGGCTTTCAAAGCTCTAGCAGGAGTCCTGGGACCACACCCCCTATGTCCAGAACCCACTGGTTAACCGTTTGTTTGCCTCTTCTGTAACTCTGTGTTTTAACCCCTCTGGAGGTCAGTTTTGTCATCTGTGACATGGGGACAGGGATACGCACCATCGTGGCAGCAGGACCACGTGAAGGGAGGTTGACTACAGCACTTTGTGAATTAGAAAACGCTGTTGAAAGCACTTTGTAGTTAAAGACTGTATGTGATGGCATTAGTAATGTATGGTTTCCATATGTGAGAGGCGAGGGGAGCATGCAGGAGGGATGGGGTGACCCCCTTCTGGCAGGACACCCAGTGGGCTGGACCCTGATACTCTTTAGCTGTGGCATCACTTTGCAGACCCTGCACCTCTTTATGGCTGATGTCTTGCTGAAATGCTTCCCCTGTGAGCTCTGCATCTGGAGGGACAGGGATTTTCAAAGGACAAATTACATGGAGGGTACAGCTCAGTGGAAGAGCATGTGCTTAGCATGCACAAGGTCCTGGGTTCAATCCTCAGCACCTCTGTTAAAACAAATAAATACCCCTCCCCCCAAAAATGGTTAAAACAAAAGGACAGATTACAGAGAGGGCCACCCAGCACAGCCAAGCTCTCACTGAAGGAGGGGATCCCCCATGAAGGAGGGGCACGCTACACCACCTGTGCTCTCAGATGTGAGACCCACTGCCTGACCTGTGACTGTACCATGGTTGTCCCTGCAGAAGAGGAAGTTCTGGACCCTTTCCTGAGCTTGGCGTGCCCAGGGATGAGTCCACAGGCCACGGGGCCACAAGGCAGGAGCCATTGCCCGAGTGGCCTCTAACTCCAGCCTGGGGTGAAGGGATCCCAGGCAGGCACGTGGGATGCGGGGAGAGGGCAGCTCCGTGACCTGGGTCCCTCATCAGCACATGAGGGCCGTGGAGGAGGGAGTGCAATCACATACAATGCATGTCTGACAGTAGGGCGTGGAACCAGCCTACTTGGGTGGGAACAGAGAAGCACCAAAACCAAGGACAGGGACCAGGTACAGGCTTCTCCCCTGTGCCACATGTCCTTTTGTCTTGAAAAATGAGTTAAAAGGTTTGCCCACACCAAAATGTATTTTGTTCTGTTTTTACATTCTTAGCTGTTGTTTTTGCCCCATCAAGAAACTGGTTAATAGGACCAACGGGGTTCGCTTGCTCTGCCACTCAGCTGGGAGGCTCTTGCCCACATGTTCCTACTTCACCATCCTTTGTAAGTTACACCCTTTGCAAATTACACCCTTTGTCAGTGCTCTGCAAGCGACCCTCACTGCAGGGCTGCCGGGCGGGCCTCAGTCTTCAGCCCTGGAAGCGTGGAAGGAGCTGCTTCTTAGGGTCCCATCTGCAAGAATACCCCAGAAGGAGGCCAATCTAGCTCTGACTTTCACATTCTGCTTTAACAGATACCGGGGAGGGGAGACAAACCTTAGGAGATTTGAAGGGGTCCTTCTTCACCGGATCAGGTCCTCCCTACCCCCAGTGTGGTTATAACCTTCCAGAAGCTTCTCAGCATCTTCCCAGCAGAAGCTGGGGAATCAGACAACCAAGGGCTTTTTTTTTTTCAAACATATTTTATTGATTTATAATT